CGTACATGTCGACTGTATACACCCTCCTGGTGTCGGCCAGGAGGGTGCGCACAACATGCTAGAGGCCCAGGACACGTGCACACACCTGCACGTGTCCTCGGCCTCTGGCACGGTACACGTGTGCACGTGCACGTGTATGACGAACCAACGACACACACCCGTACCCATAGGGGGGTAGGAGAGGGCTATGGGTGCGTGTTGTCGGGTGGGGCTCCCCGGTCGAACGGGAGCGTTCCGCAGGGTCCGACAATTGGCACCCATACCCATAGCCAGTCTTCCTCCCAACGACCCCCCTGTGGGTATTGGTGTGTGTGTGTGTTGTTCGTTCGTCATCGTACACGTGCAAACACCTGTCGGGTACAATTCCAAGCGGTGGTGGTGTGCAGAGGTGCCCTCCGCCGCCAGGAAGGCCTCCTTCCGCGGCGGGCTGCTGCTGGACGAGGGGGACTCGGACGAGTCTGCGGGGTGACCGGGGGGCGGCGCGGTGGCGCGCGCGGCTGCTCCAGGAGAAAAAGCATCTTGAGCTCGAAGGAGAAGAAACCACATCAACATAAGCGTATGGCGCTCCGCGCGTATTTCTTGGATCCGCGGCTGGGCCCCCCAGCGGCGCCTCTGGCGCCGACCCTGGCGCGCGGAGCGCGCGAGGGAGGGGGGTCAGCGCGGATCCGAGAAATCCGCGCGAAGCGCCAAAAGTTTATGTTTATCCCTTTGTTTGCTTCTGTGGGGCATACTCTGCTGTTTCGTTCCCGCCCAGTGCGACTCCGCCAGGAGTCTCGGGCCAGGGGGGCCCCCCCCCCGTCGGTCTGAGCAGAACGACTCGGTCCGGGGCTCGGGGCACGGCCCTCTTCGCGGCGCCGCATGTCTCGCTCGGGGACGGTCGTCTCGCTCGGGGAGGAAAAGCTGCACGACCGCTCTCTGCTCCGAGCGGTCTCCAACCGGGCACGCGAGGCGGCTTTTCCAGGGAGCACCTGCGCTTTTCAGGGCGCCTGGCGGCCGCGGCATGCCGCCGCCGCTCGGCGAGGACACGAGGCGGTGTCCCTCAGAAGCCAGGCGAAGGCTGGCAGACCCGTGGCTGCTGAGACGGAGTTCCGGGCAATAGTTCTCTTCCTCCAGGAAGCATCGGGTGTTGCTAGAAGTGCCCCTGGCCCAAGGTGCCCCCAGCTTTTCGCGCCATTTTGGAGCCCCTGGGGTCCTCTGGGCCTCGCGAGGGGTGCCCTGGAGGCAGCCTGGGCCACCCCGAGAATCATGGGTGGTACCTTGGGCCAGGGGTACTTCTAACAACACCCGAAAGCAGCCCGTTTATTCTTGGGTGCGCTGAGTTGGTTCCGGGAATGTGCTTCTTTTCTTCCGGGAAGCCCCTCTTAGCAGCCACGGATTTGCCAGCCATCGCCCAGCTTGAGAGCCCCTAAGGAGCAAGGAGGAGGAGGAGGAGGAGGAGGAGGAGAAGAGAGGAGGGAGGAGGGAGGAGGGAGGGGGGAGGAGGGAGGAGGGAGGAGGAGGAGGGAGGAGAAATGAGGAGGAGGAGGAGGAGGAGGAGGAGGGAGATGGGGAGGAAGAGGAGGAGGAGGAGGACGAGGAGGAGGAGGACGAGGAGCAGGAGGAGGAGGAGGAGGCAAGTTAGGTGCGCTCGCGTCAACATCTGACATCCTACCCCTCCCTCCCATCCCTTACCATGGCGCTGATTTTCTCTATATCCGCGGACGCGTGTCGTAGCGGACCTGTGGCTCCGCGCGCGTGTGCGTAGTGGCTGGTGGTGCGCGTGCGTGCGTGCGTGTGTGCGTGGTTGTGGTTGTTGTGGTGGTGGTGGTGTGTATGTGTGTGTGTGTGTGTGTGTGTGCATGTGTGCGCGTGTGCTGTGGTGTGACGTGGTGTGGCGTCTTGGTGGTTTGGTGGTGGGCCAGGTGGGTACGTGCGTGATGGCGGTGGTGGTGGTGGCTGGCGGTGGTGGTGTGTGTGTGTGTGTGTCTGTGTGTGTGCGTGTGCGTGCGTGCGTGCGTGCGTGCGTGTGTGTGTGTGTGTCTCTGTGTGTGTGTGTGTGAGTGTGTGTGTGTGCGTGTGCGTGTGCGTGTGCGTGTGTATGTGTGTATGCGTGCGTGCGTGTGTGTCTGTGTGTGCGCGCGTGTGATGTGGTGTGACGCGGTGTAGCGTGGTGGTGGTGGGTGGGGTAGTGCGGTGGTGGTGGCGGTGCGCGGTGGTGGTGCGCGTGCGTGCGTGCGTGCGTTGGTGGGTGGAAGTGGCGGTGGGTGTGCGTGCGGCGGGGCGGGGCGTGGTGCGGCGCGGTGGTGGCGGGCGGATGGGCGCGCGAGAGAAGAGGCCCGCGCTGGGGCGAGAACGCCATCCTGAACGACGGAGGCAAACACCGATCCGAAAATGAGGCCCACGCTGCAGCGGGAGCACGATTCGGAACGATTCGGGAGCAGAAATGAGGCCGGCGCCTCAGCGAGAGCAGCATTTTGAAAAAAACGCAGGCGAAAACCCAACTCCCGGGAATCCTGTGTGTAAAAAAACCGTACGCGGGGGGGGGGGGGTCGAATATTCCCAGCACGCCATCAGGGGAAGAGGGAGAGTAGTATTCATATCAAGCTAGGTGTTCGCGCGTCATATCTGACGTCCTACCCCTCCCTCCCATCCCTTAACATGGCGCTGATTTTCTCTATCCGCGGACTAGTGGGTGGTGGTGCGCGTGCGTGCGTGCGTGCGTGCGTGTGTGCGTGGTTGTGGTGCTGGTGCTGGTGCTGGTGCTGGTGCTGGTGCTGGTGCTGGTGCTGGTGCTGGTGCTGGTGCTGGTGCTGGTGCTGGTGTGTGGTGTGTGTGGTGTGTGTGCGTGTGTGCGTGTGTGCGCGTGTGCTGTGGCATGGCACGGGAAATGACGCCAGCGCTGCAGCGGGAGCACGAGTCGAAACGGGCGGAAGCGCGGAAATGAGGCCAGCGCTGCAGCGGGAGCACGATTCGGAACGAGCGGAAGCACGGACATGAGGCCAGTGCTGCAGCGGGAGCACGATTCGGAACGAGCGGGGCCCGAAAATGAGGCCGGCGCCTCGGCGAGAACAGCATTTTGAAAAAAATGCAGGCGAACACCCAATTCCTGGAAATCCTGTGTGTAAAAAAGCAGGACGCGGGGGGGTCGGATACTTTCAGGCCGCCATCGGGGGAAGAGGGAGAGTAGTATTCATATTGAGTAATTGTAGAGGGAGGACCAGCACATTTTGAGCCGGGCGGCCGCGGTGTGCAGAGTGTGCGAGCGGGTCGGGAGTTCTTGTCTTGACGCCTCAAAGCGACCACGGAAACACGGTTCATCAAGCAGTGGCGAAGCGTCTTGGCGTGTCTATCGCCCTACCGAACAATGTTGTAAGAATCTTTTGTGGTTTCCACGAAATGTTCTTAGAGCATTTCTAGCGGAGTCTGTCTTGTTGTAGCACATTGGGATTATGTTCAAAGAACATTGTTCTAAGAACAGGTTTGGGTTCTAAGAACATGTCGTGATAGGACTCTAGAAATGCCGGGACGGTCGGTCCCTGCTCAAGTTGGGGAGCGCCCGCAGCTCGGCGACGCAGGCCAAGCGGGGCCGTTGAAGCTTCTGCGCCTCAGGTGATTGACGGGACAGGGCCCATTCCGATCCGACTGATCCGATTCGATATCGATTCAGACCAGCTCGAGCTGAGCCGGGTCCTATATTCGGTCCCTCCGATGCGGCCCGACGCTGACTTAGCGCTGCTGTGCACCCCTGGCGCGGCCGATCCAGATCGATCTCGACTCCGTGCCGAAGCGGCCCGATTCGATGCACATTCCGATCCGATCCGATTTCCCGATTCGATGCCGACTGATCTTGACGAGACCTCCCCCGAGAGGGTGGGGGGCAGGGAGGGGAGAAGCTGCCGAGGAGGGGAAACATCTCAGGCACAAATAATGGCATGTGGACGTATGATGTTGCATCCTGTCTCCGCCTTGACCACCAGAAAGAATTTCGAACATCAAGAATGTTCCGAAGCTGGAGGGTTTTCACGTGTCGGGCCCTGGGAGGCGATATAGTTACTCGTTCGACACTGGCTCGATACTCTTCTGGGTGCTCGAGATTATTGCTGGGATGTGGTCCTCAAGTAAGATAGGTGCAACATCAATGTGGACGGGAAGACGAACATCGAGAAAATATTGACTTGGCATCGCTCGGACGTGTGCATTTTTCTTTCGGCGAGGACCATCGAGGAGCATCCTTGATCATTTGGCGAAAACGCATGGAATGGAAGTCCGGGCGATGGCGAGTTGAGCATAGGTGGAGGAGGAGGAGGAGGAGGAGGAGGAGGCAGAGGAGGAGGAGGAGGAGGAGGATCGAAAAAACATCGAGCATATGGGGAGCCTTTTGGTTTGCGCCAATGTATTCGTGTGTTTCCAGGCCCCTGCGGCTGCCTTCGGCGGCCTCGCCCTGGCGGCGGTGGTCGTCGCCTCCCTCTTCCCTCCCTGCTTCGCTTCTGCATTACAGTTGGAACCCAGGTCACGAAACATCCTCCTCCTCCTCCTCGTCCTCCTTCCCTCTTCCCCTCCTCCTCCTCCTCCTCCTCCTCCTCCTCCTCCTCCTCCTCCTTTTCCTCCTCCAGCGGCTGCGTCCCAAGGAGCGGGGGCAGACGGGCGGCGCGCTTCGGAACCGCGCAGCCGCCGCGGGCCACGTCGCCGGGATGCGGCAAGGCGGGCCAGATGGTGGGTCCCTGTTATCCCGGGTGTTGCGATGACCAATGACATCGTTAGTTGGGAACCCCCAAACCGGGTGGTGAGATACCAGGTGGCGACCTGGAATCCCCAGAAAGGTCACCGCTGGGTTTGGGGACGCGGGGTCACACCACCAGGTTTTGTGACTCCTGGACCCACCAGCGTCCGGGACATCCTCGGAAAACCGCACGAGTCCCCAAACCGGGTGGTGACACCAAATCGCCCGAGACTCACCGCCAGGTGTTGTCACCACCACGTTTGGGGACTACCAATCGTTAGGCCCGGCCTCACGAGTTGTGATGATCGAGGCCCTTTTGAAGAAGGGGGGCAACTTCGTCATGGTGAAGGGCCAGTCGGGCTTCGCGTGCAAAGTCGGGGTGAAGAAGTTCCTCGATGACAAAGGCCTCGGCTTGGACGAACGGGCTCCGGCGCTTCTCAAGATGATTTGGGAGGCGAAGCTGGAGCTCAATTTCATCGTGGTCTGGTAGCCCAGACGTGCGGCGCACGCCGCGCGGTGCCGGCGCCCGGACGGCACGCGCCGCTTGGGCCCGGCAGCGCCGGAAGGCCTCGGGATGGCGTTCGAGGCCTGGGAGGCTGATCGGTCGAAGGGTCCTGCGGGTGGCTGGGGTTGCCATTTCCCCACCGCTGGGCCCGCCTCCTCTTGTTTTTGGGCCCCTTCGGGGACCGACCGTCCGTCGCGCGGGATCCATCGGAGGAGCTGCGGCCCTCCCTTGGGCGGGGCGGGCTCGGCGGCCGCGCGCCGAGCAGGTCTGCGGGGAAGACCTGGCACCGTCAGCGCCCTCCTCTTCCTCCGCCTCCCCCTCCTTTTCCCCCTCCTCCTCCTCCTCCTCCTCCTCCTCCTCCTCCTCATCCTCATCCTCATCCTCATCCTCATCCTCCTCCTCCTCCCCCTCTCCCCCCCCACCCTTCCAGAGGCAACGGTTTGGACGGGGGAGGGCGCAAAGCTCGGGGCGACGACTCCGCGCGCGCAGCGGGGGCCCGTGCCAAGAAGCATCGTGCTTGCCTCCGGAGTGCCGTGGGTTTCTTGGGCCTCGATGGTTGCGCCGCACAAGCCACGGCGCTCCCGCGCCCAAAGTCCACGGGCGCCTTCGCCTGGGGATTTCAGGGTTGGGCTTCTCGTGGAGGATTTCTTGCGGTCGAGCTCCTTCTGGCCTACTGCGCCTTGCCTTCCGTCGGGGGGGGGGGGGGGCACGTTTTCTGCTCGCGCACCTGGCGCAGGGCAGCGCCGCGCGGATGGCGCCTGTTCCCATATCTTCGAGGATTCGAAGACGAGTAAGGAGGAGGAGAGGAAGAGGAGGAGGAGGAGGATGAGGAGGACGACGAGCGTCAGTATTCAGCGACTGTGTCCTAATGCGGGTCTGGGGGCTCCCAGGGTCCTCCAGGGACCTCAGAGCACTGCCCGCGAACCCGCCTTTTCCTCCATGCGCCCCCCATCGTCGTCGCCGTCGTCGTCGACGTCGTCGTCTCGGTCGTCGTCGCCTTGGCCGTGGTCGCATTGGTCGTCGTCTTCCGTCTTCGTTGTCGCCGTAGTTGCCGTTGTTTTGGCAATTCGGCGTCGTCCTGGTCGACGTCGTCGTGGTCGTCGTCGAGGTCGCGTTGGTCGTCGTCGTCGTCGCCGTCGTTTTTTGTCGTCGTTGTGTATGTCGTCGTCGTCGTCTTGGATGTTGTCGGTGTGGTCGTGGTCTTGTTCGTCGTCGTTTTGATTGTCGTTTTGGTCGACGTCGATTTGGTCATGTCGTCAATGTCGTCGTCACTTATGTCGTCGTGGTCTTGATCGTCGTCATCGTCTTGGTCGTCGTCATCGTTTTGGTCGTCGCCGTCGCCGTCGTCTTGTTCGCTGATGTCGTCGTGGTCGTCGGAGCGGGCGGTGTCGCATCGATGGTCGTCGCCATGGTCGTGGTCGTCTTGGTCGTTGTCGTTGTTGTCGTCGTTGTTTTGGCAATTGGTAGTTCGCCGTCGTTTTGGTCGTCGTCGTCTTGGTCGTCGCCGTCATGGTCGTCGATGTCGCCGTGGCCGTCGACGTCGTTGTGGTCGTCGCCGTGGTCGCGGTGGTCGTCGTTGTCGTCGTCACCGTCGTCTTTGTTGTCGTCGTCGTCGTTTCGGTCGTCGTCGTCGTCTTGAACTTTTTCGGTATGGTCGTCGTCCTGTTCGTTGTCGTTTTGGTCGTCGTCTTGGTCGTCGACTGCGACTTGGTCGTGTCATCATTGTCGTCGTCCCTTAATTATGTCGTCGTCGTCGTCATGGTCGTCGTCGCCGTCGTCATGGTCGTTGATGTCGTCGTGGTCGTCGGTGTGGGCGGTGTCGTCTCGGTCGTCGTCGTCTTGGTCGTCGAGTCGTTGGTTGTCGTCGTCGCGGTCGTCGTCGTCTTCGTCGTGGTCGTCGTCGCCTTGGTCGTCGCCACGTTGATCGTCGTCGTCGTTGTCGTCGTCTTAGTTGTCGATGTCTTTGTCCACGTCGTCTTGGTCGTAGTCGTCCTGGCCATTTTTTCGTCGTCGCCTTTGTCGATGGCGTATTGGTCGTCGTCTTCTTAGTGTCCGTCGTCGTTTTGGTTGTATTGGTCGTCTTCTTCTTGGTCGTCGTCGCCGGCGACGGCGTTGTCGTTTCGTCGTCTCGGTCGTCGTCGTCTTCTTGGTCGTCGTCGTGTTGGTCGTCGTCGTCGTCTCGTGTCGATGTCGTCTCGGTCGTCGTCGTTTTGGTCGACGTTTTCTTGGTCGTCGTCGTCGTTTTGGTTTTGTCGGCGTCTATGTCGTCGTTGTCTTGGTTGTCGTCGTTGTCTTGGTCGGCGTCTTGGTCGTGGTCGTGGTCGTCTTGGTCGTATCTTGGTCGTTGTTGTCGTCTTGGTAAGCGTCGTCTTGGTCGTCGTCGTCGCCGTCGCCATCGCCGTCTTGGTCGATGTCGTCGTCGTCATCTTGGTCGTCGTCGTGGTTGTCGTCGCCGTCTTTGCCCCCCTCGCGACTCACCGGCAACCCGCCCGCGCCACACCCGCGCCCCATTCGCGACCCACCCGCGAACCATCCGCAACCCACCCGCGACCGACCCGCGACCCGGCCCGCGACCCGCCCGCGACCCGCCCGCGACCCACCCGCGACCCAACCGCGACCCGCCCATTTTGCGCAACCAAAAAATTGCGCCTGCGGCCGGCTCATTGTAAAATCTGTAAACTGCGGCAGGCCTCATCAGAGCTTCGCAGACTGCAGACGTCCCCGCCGCCCCCTCACTCTTATCCGCAACTGCGGGGTGCTGCGTATGTATGTACGCTTGTGCGGTCAAGACCCTCACGCCATTCCGCCGACTCCCGGAAGAGGCGCGGAGTCCACGGTTGAGGCGTCTTGGGTTTCTTGGGCATTATTTGGGGACTCTTGCGGGCGTCTTGGGAGCTGTATGGGGGCCTGGTTGAGCCTCCTGGATCAAGTTTTGAATCGTCTTGGGGGCGGCTTCGGGGCCACATTTGTAGACGTTGTGGAGTGCGTGTCGTGTCGCGGCAGCGTCGGAGCAGCAGGGGCGGCAACGCCAGCAGGACGCAGGCGCCAGGCAGGGCCGCCCCCGCTGGTGCCTCGGGAGGTGGCCCGCTGCAGGGCCCCTGCCCTCGGGGGTGGGGGGGGTGGGCGGGCGGGCCGCAGGACCCCGAGTGGAACGAGGCGTTCGACATCCCCGTCGCGGCGAGGGCACTGGAGCTGGAGGCGGCCGGCCCTCGCCGACGCCCCTCCCCCCCCGCCCTGCGCCCGCCCGCCGCAGCCGTGGCCCGGGGAGGCTCAGACGGGCACGCCCGCTTCGCCTTCGAGCCGCGGCGCCTAGCTGAGTCTTCCTTGCCTCTCGCGGGGGGCGGCGTGCGCACCGGGAGCGGGGATCCCGCGGGCGAGTACACTGAGAACCGTGACGACGGTCCCCCCCCCGTCGCCCCCTCCCCCGCCCCCCCCCCCCGCCGTTTCCTCCCCCCCCCCCCCGCCCCCCCCCGCCCCCCCCCCGCCCCCCCCCCCCACCACCGCGAGTTGTGGTTCCTGCGCCTGTGTCTGTCCTCGGCGGCGCTCCGGCGTCGGGGTGCCTTCCGGCGGCCGCGCCACCTGGGGTCGCCCTGGGCGGCTGCCAGAGGACCGCGCCACGGCACGAAAGCCACTGAGGACTCCTGGGGCGCGCAAGTGCGGCGGCGGGTTTTTCGGCCTTGCAGTCAACCCGCATAGTCAGGATGGGCAACCTTCCCAAGGGTACCCTTGCATCCTTGCCCCTCGGCCCATCCTTGGCCGCTCTCGTTGGCCGCGCCCCGCTCGAAAAGCTGCGAAATGGGCGTCCAAGGCCCAAGGCCCTTGCGTCCTTATCGCACATCCTTATTCCACGGATTGACTGTTGGTCCGACGGTACTCATGCCATGTTGGCCTCCTCGGCGCACAGATCGAACAAGAAAAAACGCCACAAGCATAGAAGTGTTGGCGTTCCACGCGGGTTTCTCGGATCCGCGCTGGCCCACCCTGGCGGCGCCGGATTATGTGATTATTATTCGTGTTGTTATTAGTGCTGTTGTTATTCGTGTGATTATTATGATTCGTGTGATTAATATTCGCGTTTTTATTATTCGTGTTGTTCGTAGGATTAGTATTACTAATATGATTATTGTTATTCATAGTTTTGTTGTTGCTACTGGCATTTGTTGTATTCCCTGCCTAGGCTCTGCCTAGAAGGGTTCTTACTCTCTTAGCTTAAAGGGGCCGGGCAGTGCTAAGCGCCCCGGGCGGTTCCCCCAGTCCCCTGGGAGCGGTTCCCCCCAGTCCCCTGGGAGCTTTAGCTTTAGCTTTAGCTTAGCTTTAGCTTAGCTTTAGCTTAGCTGTAGCTTAGCTTTAGCTTAGCGTTTCGCTTAGCTTTTCGCTTAGCGTTTAGCTTAGCTTTAGCTTAGCTTTAGCTTAGATTTAGTTTAGCTTTAGCTTAGCTTGAGCTTAGATGTAGCTTAGCTATATCTTAGCTTTAGCTTAGGTTTAGCTTAGCTTTAGCTTAGCTTTAGCTTAGCTTTAGCTTAGATTTAGCTTAGTTGTAGCTTAGCTTTAGCTTAGCTGCTGCTCAGCTTCATCTTAGCTTTAGCATAGCTTTAGCTTAGCTTTAGCGTAGCTTTAGTTTAACTTTAGCTTAGCTGTGGCTTAGCTTTAGCTTAGCGTTAGCTTAGCTTTAGCTTAGCTTTAGCTTAGCGTTACTGTTATTACTAATGCTGCTTTCCTAGGGGTTCCAACTCCTAGGTAGGGTCGCACTGGGATACTTGTTATTATTATTGTATCATTGTTCGTATTGGTATGATTCGTATTATTCGTATGATCAGTATGATTATTTCCCTTTGTTTTCTTATTCGGGAGGCTCGGCGGAGCTCCGAGTCCTCCCTTCCGGAGGACGAGCGGGGCACGTCCCCCCGAGAGCCCGCCCGATCGGGCAGGCCCAGCCAGGGCGGGCGAGGCGACGCGCAGAGGCCGCCGAGGCGATGCCGCGGCCGCGAGTGCGGCGGTGGGCCTGCTCCCCCTCCTCCTCCTCCTCCTCCTCCTCCCCCTCCTCCTCCTCCCCCTCCCCCCCCTCCCTCTCCTCCTCCTCTTCTCCTCCTCCTCCTCCTCCCTCCTCCTTCTCCTCCTCTCTCCTCCTCCTCCTCCTCCTCCTCTCCTCCTCCTCCCCCTCTCCTCCTCCTCCTCCTCCTCCTCCTCCTCCTCCTCCTTCCCTCCTCCTCCTCCTCCCCCTTCTCCTCCTCCTCCTCCTTCTCCTCCGCCTCCTCCTCCTCCTCCGCCATATCTTCCCTCCTCCTCCTCCTCCTCCTCCTCCTCCTCCTCCTCCTCCTCCTCCTCCTCCTCCTCCTTCCTCCTCCTCCTCCTCCTCTCCTCCGCCTCCTCCTCCTCCTCCTCCGCCACATCTTCGTCCCTCCTCCGTCTCCTCCTCCCCCCTCCTCCTCCCTCCCCTCCTCCTCCTCCTCCGCCTCCTCCTCCTCCTCCTCGTCCTCCTCCTCCTCCGCCACCTCTTCGTCCTTCTCCTCCTCCTGCTCCCCCTCCTCATCTTCGCTTCCGTTCCAAGTTCTGCCCTGCGCGTTTTTCGCACAGGCCCCCGCCGAGCAGCAGGACGAGGATGGCCAGGAGGAGCATGGTGACCAGGGGACTGGCGAGCTGCAGGACGACGATGAATGAAGGAAACGAGAATGATGATGGTGATGATGATGCTGATGATGATGATGATGATGATGATGATGATGATGATGGTTGTGGTGATGCTGCTGATGCTGCTGCTGCTGATGATGCTGATGATGATGAAGCTGCACATGATGATGATGATGATGATGATGATGATGATGATGATGATGATGATGGTGATGGTGATGATGATGATGATGATGATAATGGTGATGGTGATGGTGATGGTGCTGGTGCTGGTGCGGGTGCTGATGCTGATGCTGATGCTGATGTTGCTGATGATGTTGATGATGATGATGTTAGTGATGGTGATGATGATGTTGCTGATGCTGCTGATGATGTCGACGACGATGATGTTGATGTTGATGTTGATGTTGATGTTGATGTTGATGATGATGATGATGATGATGATGATGATGATGATGATGATGATGATGATGATGATGATGATGATGATGATGATGATGATGATGATGATGATGATGCTGATGATGATGATGATGATGATGATGATGATGATGATGATGATGGTGATGGTGATGACGACGACGATGACGATGACGATGAAGATGGCGATGACGATGCTGCTGCTGCTGCTGAGGAGGAGGAGGAGGAGGAGGAGGAGGAGGATAGTGCAGATGAGTAGAATATGATGCAGATGCAGCGGACAACACCTCACTCTTATCCGCAACTGCGGGGTGCTCCGTCCCTCCCCCCAGTTCCCCCCTGTTCCTATCCACGCTCTTCCCGCTGCCTGATTCCCTCCTGCCGCCTGGAGGGACCCTCCCTCTCTCCCTCACTCCCCGTTCCCCGTCGCGTAACGTTGTACTTGACAGCGCCGCGGCGCCGCCGCCTAGCCCCAAGAAGGGCCGCCCCGCGCGACGAACCGACGCAGCGCCCACTGTCCACAGCAGTCTCCCTCCCCGTTCCCTCCTCTCGCCCCGTCCTTTCCCCCTCCCCCTCATCCTGGCTGCCTCCTGGCTGCCTCCCCCTCCTCCTGACTGCCCCCTGCCTCCTGGACTGCCTCCTCCCCCTTCATGGACGGCCTCCCCCCCCCCGCCCTCCCTCCCTCCCGGACTGCCTCCTCGCCCTCCTTCCTCCTCCTTCCTCGCCCTGCCCCCCCCTCTAGCTCCCGACTGCCTCCCGCCTCCTGGTGCGGGCCGGGCCGCCCCGATCTGGACTGCCGTTCTCGCCCCACCCTTCCCTCTGCCGCGCCCCGCCCCGTTCCCCTGCCGCCCCTTGCGCTCGTGCGCACGGCCAGGGGGGGGAGGCGGTGGGCCAGTCTGCCGCCACCGCTGGCACATACAGGACGGGGGAGAAGGGAGGATGGGGAGGTCCTCCTCCTCCTCCTCCTCCTCCGCCTCCACTCTCCTCCTCCTCCTCCTCCTCCTCCTCCTCCTCCTCCGCCTCCTCCTCCTCCTCCTCCTCCTCCTCCTCCTCTCCTCCTCCTCCTCCTCCTCACTCCTCCTCCTCCATCTCCATCCTCCTCCTCCTCCTCCTCCTCCTCCTCCTCCTCCCTCCCCTGCCTCCTCCGCCTTCTCCTCCTCCATCCTCCTCCATCATCCTCTCCTCCTCCCTCCTCTCCTCCTCCTCCTCCTCTCTCCTCCTCCTCCTCTCATCCTCCTCCATCCTCCTCCATCCTCCTCCCTCCTCCTCCCCTCCTCCTCCTCCTCCTCCTCCTCCTCCTCCTCCTCCTTCATCCTCCTCCTCCTCCTCCTCCTCCATCCTCCTGCTCCTCCTCCTCCCCCTCCTCCTTCTCCCTCTCCTGCCTGTGGTAGTGGTGCCGGAACATCGGCCCATCAGGAGGCGGCGAGGGCGGGCGGAGATGTGCGGGCGGGCCGACGGGGTGAGCAGGGCGAGGCACCACAGCCAGTCCACAACCAAAGAGGAGAGCCTCACAGCTTCCGCCCATCAGCTTTCCGCGCGGGTCAGCTCACAGTCCACAACCAAGGAGGAGCATCACAGCTTCCGACCATCAGCATTCCGCGCGGGTCAGCTCGCGGATCGCTCGCTCCTTCATCACAGACTTAATGCCTTCGTAATCTTGGCTTGCATGGAATCGGAGTGCGTTCATAGCGACCTTAGCGAGTACGCTGGCCGCAGCCATGCTGCCGTTCGACGACGACGACGACGACGACGACGTCGACGTCGACGTCGACACCGACGACGACGACGTTCACGACGACGACGACGACGACGACGACGACGACGTTGACGACGACGACGACGACGACGACGACGACGACGACGACGACGACGACGACGACGACGACGACGACGACGACGACGACGACGACGACTGCTCCCTCCTTCGGCGGCGAGCCCGGGGGGAAGTGAGAAGGGTCTGGCCTTCTCAGAAGGCCCCGAAGGCTCCCATCCTTCCGAGAAGTGTTCGGAGCCGCCGTCCCCGAAGGCGCCAATGACTCCTCGGCAGGCGGGAGCGCCTCCGAGAGGCCCCCGAGCGCCCGCTCCTCCTCACTCCTCCCCCTCGCTTCCCTCCTCCTCCCCCCTCTCTCTTCTGAGGAGGCCCTCCCCCTTCTCCCTTCCCCCCCCCGCGCTCGCCGCCGACCCGCGGCTCCCCCGCCGCACGCAGTGCTCCCCGGGCGCCTCCCCCCCTCCCTCGGGGCCTGCCTTTTTTTCCGCCCGCGAGGCCGCCCTCGAGGCGGTGTCCCCCGAGCTGGTGGGGGAGTCCCTGGACTGGCTGCTGCCGCCGGAGGCCTGCGCGAGCGAGGGATGCGAGGAGGAGGAGGAGGAGGAGGAGGAGGGCAGGAAGGAGGGAGGGAGGGAGGGAGGGAGGGAGGGAGGGAGGGGAGGAGGAGGAGGAGGAGGAGGACGAGGAGAGGAGGAGGAGGAGGAGGAGGCGGAGGCGGAGGCGGAGGCGGAGGAGGAGGATGAGGAGGAGGAGGAGGAGGAGGGATCCGGTGAGGAGGAGGAGGAGGAGGAGGAGGAGGAGGAGGGCCGGAGCTTGATGAGGAGGGCCACGATCGGGGGGGGGGGGATGGGCAAAGGGCGAAGAAGAGACAACGCCACAAACACGTACCTTGGGCGCTCCGCGCGGATGTCTTGGCTCGGCGCTGCGCAGCCCCCCCAGCGGCGCCGCCGGCGCCGCCTCTGGCGCGCTTCGCACGCCAGGGAGGGGGGTCCAGCGCAGATCCAAGAAACCTGCGCGGAGCGCCACAAGTATAGGGTCGGGCTTGAAGACGGAACACTTACTTTTCGAAAGGAGCTCGGTCGTTCCTTTGGTTTGCATGCCTTCCGCTACCTTTTCGGCGGCAAGCCCCCTTGGTGTTCCTTCGGGCTTCCTAGACTTACTTGGAAACAACGGGGCTTCGGTCCTTATTTATCGCTCCTGAGGTCAGGACGAGTACTGTACATGTTTATGGCGTTTGTTTTTCTTCCACTGGGGGGGTTCGGGCGTCGGTTCTTCTAGGCTGAAGTCGGGCCTGTTCCTCTACAGGGGGGATACTCAAAGATAGTAAAAAAAGAGTCTGGGGACTATATCGGCCATCTTTTGAAGATGTTTTGGATATTTTTGGTTTCTCGTCCAGAATCCCTCCTGTAGGGGGACAGGCCCGACCTAGTTCTAGGCCTCGGGCGTCGGTTTCGCGGCGGCGTCCGGCCTCGGGGTGCTCTCCAGCGGCCGGGCCTCGCCGAGGGCGCTCCGGAGATGGCCCGAAAGAAAACTGCGGGGCGGCGTCGGGTGCCGATAGGCTCGGGGGGGACGCATCCACCCCCAATCGCCGATAGGGGCACGGCAGTCCCACCCTGCCCAGGAGCGTGCGGAGTGGCTATGAGGACCTTCTCGCCGACTTCTCGGGGACGTGTATCCGAATCCAGTCCGATGGTCCACCCCCCTGTGCTTAAGTCGGGCATGCCCCTGCACAGGAGGAATACTAATATATAAAACATAGTATGGTGACGATTTGTCGTACTCTTTTGACTATGTTTGATTTTTGCTTGGCTATGTGTCCGCCTGTCGGAGGACATGCCCGACCTAACCCTACCCCAGTCCCCCCTGCCGTGCCCCCCTGAGGGAGAGGCGCGAAGCGGAGCTCCCCGAGAGCCTCCTGTCTCCAGGCCTCCTAGGAGCAGTCGGAGCAGATGCGGGCGGGCGGTATTCGGGGTGACCTGGACG